GGTGGTGGGTGCCTATAATCCCAGCTACTCGGGCAGCTGAGACAGGAGAATCGCTGGAACCTGGGAGGTGGAGGCTGAGGTTGCAGTGAGCCGAGATCATGCCACTGCACCCCAGCCTGGGCGACAAGAGCAAAACTCTATTTAAAAAAAAAAAAAAAAAAAACCTTTAGTAGATAGTGCCCAAGTTTTCCAAAGCAGTTGAAACAATTTAGACTTTCATCTTGCAGTGAGCGGAGATCACGCCACTGCACTCCAGCCTGGGCAAGAGCGAGACGCCGTGTCAAATAAATAAATAAATAAATAGACTTTCATCCCCAGTGTATGAGAGTTCCAATTGCACTCTATGGTCATCCACACTCGGGATTGTCAGTTGCTTTAATTTTAGCCAATTTGGTGGATGCTTAGTAATATCTCATTTGCTCTTAATTTGCATTTTCTTTTTCTTTCTTTCTTTTTTTTTTTGAGATGGAGTCTCGCTCTGTCACCCAAGCTGGAGTGCAGTGGCACCATCGCGGCTAACTATAACCTCCACCTCCCAGGTTCAAGCAATTCTCCTGCCTCAGCCTCCCGAGTAGCTAGGACTACAGGTGCCCACCACCACACCCGGCTAATTTTTGCATTTTTAGTAGAGGCGGGGTTTCACCGTGTTGGCCAGGATAGTCTCGAACTCCTGACCTCAGGTGATCCACCCACCTCGGCCTCCCAAAGTGCTGGGATTACAAGCGTGAGCCACCACACCCAGGCTTAATTTGCATCTTCTTAATGAGTATTAATGATCACCACCTTTTCAGATGCTCATTAACCATTCTGATATCCTCTTTTGTGACGTGCCTGTGTTCAAGTATTCTACCTCGTTAAAAAAGAAAAAAAAGAGAGAGAGCTCTCTATATGTTTCCTATTGATGTGCAGAAGTTCTAGGTGTAATTCCTTTGTCAAAAATATATATTGCAGGCTGGGCGTGGTGGCTCACGCCTGTAATCCCAGCACTTTGGGAGGCCGAGGCCGGCGGATCATGAGATTAGGAGATCGAGACCATCCTGACCAACATGGTGAAACTGTGTCTCTACTAAAATACAAAAAATTAGCCTGGTGTGGTGGCTCATGCCTGTAGTCCCAGCTACCAGGGAGGCTGAGGCAGGGGAATTGCTTGAACTCAGGAGGTAGAGGTTGCAGTGAGCCAAGATTGTGCCACTGCACTCCAGCCTGGCGACAGAGCAAGACTCCGTCTCAAAAAAATATATATATATATGTGTATATATATGACAAATATATGTGTCCCTAAGGCTTGCCTTTTCTTCCTCTCTTAATGGTCTCTTGAAAACAGCCCATTCTTCTCAATGTTGATGAAGGCCAATCGCTCATTTTGTGATTACTACTACTTTTTTTTTTTTTTTGAGACAGTCTCGCTCTGTCATCCAGGCTGGAGTGCAGTGGCGCGATCTCAGCTCACTACAACCTTCACCTCCTGGGTTCATGCCATTCTCCTGCCTCAACCTCTCGAGTAGTTGGGACCACAGGCGCCTGCCACCACGCCCGGCTAATGTTTTGTATTTTTAGCAGAGACGGGGTTTCACGGTGTCAGCCAGGATGGTCTTGATCTCCTGACCTCGTGATCCGCCCGCCTCTGCCTCCCAGCATGCTGGGATTATAGGGGTGACCCACGGCGCCGGGCCTGTGGTTACTACTTTTTAAAGAACTTGTTTTGGTTTGAGACAGGATCTTGCTCTGTCACCTAGGCTGGAGTGTACTGGCGTGGTCATAGCTCACTGCGGGCTTAAACTCCCAGGCTCAAGCCATCCTCCTGCCTTAGCCTCTGAAGGAGCTGGGACTACACACACACACCACCACGCCTGGCTAATTTTTGTGTTTTTGTACAGACCAGGTTTCCCCACGTTGCCTAGTCTGGTTTCAAACTCCTGGACTCAAGCAATCTGCTTGCCTCAGCCTCCCAAACTGTTGGGATTAAAGGCATGAGCCAACACACCCGCCTTAAAGTACCTGTTTAGACCACTTTGTTTATCCCAAAATCATGAAGGCATTCTCTTGTTTCCTTCTAGAAATTCTATTGTTTTTACCTCTCACATCTGGGACTATAATCCATCTCAAATTAATTTTTGAATGTGGTGTGAGGTAGGGGTATTTATTCCCTTTATTGAAAAGACCGTCCTTTCCTCAATGATTTCCAATGCGTTCTTGACCCTATAATTAGAGTTAACTTCCGTAAGCACTCATTAGATCGTTGCATTTTCCTACCCGTCTTCAGCGGCAGACCATTGCTCTTATGGACAATAATCAGATAATAATCAGTTCCTTGCTTAACAATACCTAACTTGATCTGGTCACCTGCTGTCTCTCCTGCCAAATCTCGCCTTGTGTCTGCCTTTCCACTCTGAATATAGAGTTCTTTGGACAGGTCACACCCTCATCCCCAAGCCCTTCCCATATACAGCATTTTCATTCCCTTAGACTAGTTACTCAAACTTCAGGTCTTATCTCTTCCAGGAGCCTTCTCAATAGCACAGTCCCTGTCCCTTACATCCAGGTTGTGTGACTTACAGATATGCATTCACGGCCGGGCACAGTGGCTCATGCCTGTAATCCCAGCACTTTGGGAGGCCGAGGCAGGCGGATCACCTGAGGTCGGGAGTTCGAGACCAGACTGACCAACATGGAGAAACCCCGTCTCTACTAAAAATACAAAAATTAGCTGGGCGTGGTGGTGTACGCTTATAATCCCAGCTACTCAGGAGGCTGAGGCAGGAGAATCACTTGAACTCGGAAGGTGGAGCTTGCGCTGAGCCAAGATTGCGCCATTGCACTCTAGCCTGGGCAACAAGAGTGAAACTCCATCTCAAAAAGAAAAAAAAAAAAGAACATATATGCGTACCTTGTACCCCCGTTTCTTTCTTTTTTTTTTTTTTTTTTGAGACAGAGTCTTGCTCTGTCACCCAGCCTGGAGTGCAGTGGTATGATCTTGGCTCACTGCAAGCTCCGCCTCCCAGGTTCACACCATTTTCCTGCCTCAGCCTCCCTAGTAGCTGGGACTACTGGTGCCCACCACCACGCCCAGCTAATTTTTTGTCTTTTGTTTAGTAGAAATGGGGTTTCACGGTGTTGGCCAGAATGGTCTCAATCTCCACCCGCCTCGGCCTCCCAAAGTGCTGGGATTACAGGCATAAGCCACCGCGCCCGGCTGTACCCCCGTTTCTAATTACATTTTTTTATTTTATTTTTTGAGACAGAGTCTCACTCTGTTGCCCAGGCTGGAGTGCGGTGGTGCAGTCTCGGCTCACTGCAGCCCCCACCTCCCGGGTTCAAGCAATTCTTCCACCTCAGTCTCCTGAGTAGCTGGGATTACAGGGCTGCGCCACCACACCTGGCTAATTTTTACATTTTTCATACAGACAGGGTTTCACCATGTTGGGCAGGCTAGTCTCGAACTCATGAACTCTGGTGATCCACCTGTCTCAGCCTCCCAAAGTGCTGGGGTTACAGACGTGAGTCACCATGCCCAGCCTATTTTATTTTATTTTATTTTAGATGGAGTCTCACTCTTTCGTCCTTCTAGGCTGGAGTGCAGTGGTGCAGTCTTGGCTCACTGCAACCTCTACCTGTTGGACTCAAGCAATTCTCCCACCTCAGCCTCCCTAGTAGCTGAGATTACAGGTGCCCACCACCACACTCAGCTAATTTCTGTATTTCTAGTAGAGACGGGGTTTCACCATGTTGGCCAGGCTGGTCTGGAACTTCCGACCTCAGGTGATCCACCTGCCTCAGCCTTCCAAAGTGCTGGGATTACAGGTAAGAGCCATCGCACCCGGCCTTCTAATTATATTTAAATATCTCCCCATTATAACTTCTCTGAGGGAAAGGAGGAGGCCTATTTAGTTCACATGAGAGGTTCGTCCTAAATACTGTTGAATGAATGAATAAATTTAAGGGAAGATTCTGTCCCAGGAACCCAGACAGTATGGACCTCAGAGAAACAAGGACGTTTCCAGTCTCAGATCTAGTGCTTGGCAAATAATTATTTCTGAGCCTCAATTTTCAAATCTGTAAAATAAAGATGTACTATTCTCTACATAGGATTGTAATGGGCATCAAATAAGATAATGTGGCCGGGCACAGTGGCTCACATTTGTAATCCCAGGGCTTTGGTAAGCCAAGGTGGGAGCATCACTTGAGGCCAGGAATTCGAGACCAGCCTAGGCAACATAGTAAGACCCCCCCGCCCCTCCCCCTATCTCTACAAAAAATTTAAAAGTTATCAGGGTGTGGTGGCATGTGCTTGTGGTCCCAGCTACTTGGGAGGCTGAGGTGGGAGGCTCGCTTGAGCCTGTGAGTTTGAGGCTGCAGTGAGTTGTGATTGAGCCTCTGCACTCCAGGCTGGGCAACAGCGCGAGACCTTGTCTTTAAAAATAATAAAATGATAAGGTAATCCGCAGAAGCATTCAGCACAGTGATTGGCACATGGAGGGGCCATTGAGGTTTTTTTTTTTTTTTTTTAGAGACAGAGTCTCGCTGTATCGCCCAGGTTGGATGGAGTGCAGTGGCACGAACTCGGCTCACTGCAATCTCCGCCTCCTGGGTTCAAGCGATTATCTTTCCTCAGCCTCCCGAGTAGCTGGGATTACAGGCGTGCACCACCAAGCCCGGCTAATTTTTCTTGCATTTTTAGTAGAGACGGGGTTTCACCATTTTGGCCAGGCTGCTCTCGAACTTCTGATCTTAGGTGATCCGCCCGCCGCGGCCTCCCGAAATGCTGGGATTACAGGCGTGAGCCACCGTGCCAGGCCATTGAGTATTATTAAGAGGAGGGTACGAAGAAAACACTCCCGCCCGCTCTGCCCCATGCGCATGCGCGGCCGCGGCGCGCCCTCAGTCGGACCCCGCGGGCCCCAACGCGTCCCCACGCGTGCGTGATCCACCGGAACCCAAGCCTAGGCAGGAGGTGAGGGGGCGGGGCCTCCGCAGTGCGACTGCGCCGCGCGAGGCCGTGCGTCGCGGGGGCGGGGCGCGCAGGCGCAGCGGGCGCCCCGGCTCCGGAGCATAAACAAGAGCGGGGACGTGATGAGGCGGCGGTTGATCTTAGGGCGGCTAGTGGCGGCGACCCAGGCGGCTAGCGGGGCCCGGCGCCGACCCTGAGTGCAGCCTGACCCGCCCTCGCGCGCGCGCCCTCCCCGGCCGGGCCCACTCGCCGCGCGCCCAGCCATGAACCTGGCGAGCCAGAGCGGGGAGGCCGGCGCCGGCCAGCTGCTCTTCGCCAACTTTAACCAGGACATCACGTAAGGCCGGGGTCGGGGGTCTGGGTCGGGGTGAGGCCACGGTCGGACCCGGGCTAGGGGGAGGGCCTCGCTGCCAAGCTCGGCGGGGTCGCAGGCTTGGCCTGCCTGCGGGCCAAGACGGGCAGAGGCGTCCCAGGGGGCGGGCCCCGGGCGCGCAGGGAGGGGCGCCCTCCAGGGAGACCCTCGGGCCCTGGCCTGGAGCTGCGGCCCCGGAGCGGGAGAGGTGGTGGATAGGGGACCTGCTTTCACCATCTTGCGGGGAGGCCCCCTGGCTTCAGACCTCACTACTTCTCGCAAAGTTGGGGCCGAACTTTGGGGCTTGACTTGTCTTGGCCGCCTGTGGAGCGCTGGGAGTGGGTCGCTTCCTCTCCTCTCTTCTCTGCCCGCTTCTTGCTCAGCGTCTCCCACTCACTCTCCTTTGAATCAGGCCCTTCTCCTTGTCTCTTCATCGTCTTAAGGTCCCTTCTCTCTCTCTCTTGATTTTCTTTTCTTCGTTTCTGTTTTTTTTTTTTTTCTTTGTTTTTGTTTTTTGGGATTTGTTTTGTTTTGAGACGGAGTCTTGCTCTGTTGCCCAGGCTGGAGTGCAGTGGTGCGATCACAGCTCACTGCAAGCTCCGTCTCCTGGGTTCAGGCGATTCTCCTGCCTCAGCCTCCCAAGTAGCTGAGACTACAGGCACGCGACCCTGGGCCCAGCTAACTTTTTTGTATTTGTAGTAGAGACAGGGTTTCACCATGTTGGTCAGGCTGGTCTGGAATTCCTGACCTCAAGTGATCCGCCCACCTCAGCCTCCCGAAGTGCTGGGATTGCAGGTGTGAGCCACCGTGCCCGGCCCACACTGTTCTTTTTGGGAGGTAACTTTGATGTCTTCTGCAGCAAGTAACAAACTTAGCAATAACCTTGGTGTCTGACCTAGCTAGGGAGAAACCGAGCCAAGAGAGGCGTTACAGACCAGTGCCCCAGGAGTCTCAGAGCTCCACGGGGCGGGTCATCCTCTGGGCAAGAGAAGGCCTTAAGGCCAGCCCATACAGCCCGTGCATTCGGAACGCTGTTTGTCCACACTGATACGGGTTGGATGCTGCCTGGGAGGAGGGCTTGTGGGGATGGTTAATAGATGAGCGAGCTTTCTGGAGAGAGAAGGATGAGTTATGGGGTTGGCAAGGAGGAGAGCCATCTTGGAAGTGAGTAACAGGAAGTGAGGAAAGAGGAGGAGGAGTGGGTCATTTGGCATCTTACTAAGTCATTGGTTGAGTTGTTACTAGCTGAGTGGAATTAAGAAAGCAGAAAATGAGACTCTTTAGGAAATTAAAAGTGAACTGTAGAATGGCCAACACCCAGTGAGTGGTGTACAGGAGGCGCTCAATAGCAGCTTACCAAAGCTGTGAAGACAGTCGCATAGTGGGACTGCATTGATAATCGGAAGGGGCAAATCACCTCATCCAACTAGAGATGAGGAAATCCTTCCGAAAGGCTCCAAGCTGGCCTGGGTCTTCGAATTGGTTAATAGTGGAGTGGGGGCAGGAGTAGAATCTAGCCTCCTGAGTTCTCTTCCAGTGTTCTTTCTGCTCTGCCGTGCTGTTTTTTTTTCTATTTACAGAGTAGAATTCTGAAGACAGTGAATTTAGAAATAATAGCATAACAACGTATAAAGATTAAAACTCCCAAGTACTGTAGTGTTCTGTGTGACCAAAAGCCAGAACAACAAACAATTCAGACAACCTGTTGCAGTTGAAGTGGAATAGACTATCTTAATCCAGATAGGGAAAAGGACATCACAACCCAATTCTAATTTCGCTTTTAAGCCCAAGCCCACAGTATTTGGAGACTAGTAAGAAATGGTAGTAGTAAAGGGGTTTATGCCATGTATAAATTAGAGAGTTTCCAAAACATTGTCGGCCACTCTTTCAGTTTTTCATTAATTATTTCTGTCAGAATGAAATCAAATATAGAAAAGCATTCTCTTTTGCTGTTACTTCAGCTGGACTGCCATGTTCCCTGTGTCACAGGAGAGTGTCACTCTGGCCTGAACTAGGACATTTTCACACTTACCCACTTCTCTATGCTCCCTGAAGTTATTACAGTTCAAGAAATTTCTGTTACTTTGAGATTTCATAACTTTGACTTGCCAGAGAGACCTTGATGTAGTGTAAACCTAAATTGGAATGAATAGTAAGCTAGGATTATACTAGAAGTTGACTGGGCTAAAATGACTGTAATTTGTTTTAAATCTACACTTGGAAGAAATAGAAGTTCCCGGAGAGAGCTTTTATGGCTTATACCTTTTCCTTCTTAATCTCCAGAATTTATTGAGGAGCACAATTTTTAGCAAGAGAAAGAACGTCCGTCTAGAACTCACATTTACTGTATTGAGTGAGAAACTTTGGAAGCCAGTTCACTTACTGGAATATATATATGTTATAGGATCATTTCCCTTTTTTTTGTCTTTTAAATTCTTTTTGTATTCGTTACATGCCAAACTATAACTGTCCTGCCTTTCTCCTTGTACTGGTAATATGATTTCCAATGTCGTACTTTTTCATGATTCTTGTCCTAAAAGTGTGCATACATTTTATTTGTTTTTTACCATCTGTTTTTTGTTTTGTTTTGTTTTTTTTACCTAGAGAAGTGAAAAGGGCATCAAGAGCAGCTGGTCTTGGCCGTCGCGCTGTTGTCTGGTTAGTTCCAACCCTGGTTTCTAAAAGTATCACCTCGGAAGGCTTATGTTAGAGGACTTTTTGGCTTTTTGAAATTGAAGTGAACCAGTTAATAAGTGGCAGAGGATCACTTGAATATGAAATGGAAATACCAAGGACTGCATTTTTCCAGTGGACACCACAGCTTGTGGGAAGTTAGTGATGTAGCAATGTCTGTTTTAAACACCATGTCTAAAAGGGATGGAATGAAGAAAGGGACTTGACTTTCCAAGTCTTGTGTTTGTAGAATGGATGTTATGAAGTGTCTGGAGACAGTAGGAGAAACCTGTTGTGTTCTTCCACCATGTCTCTTCTAGGTTATGCTCATTGTCCTGGGAAGGTACTGCTCTGTTCTCTTGGTTCATCTGTAAATCAAGGGTTTTTGTTTTTGAGATGGAGTCTCGCTGTTGCACAGTTGGAAGTGCAGTGGCACAATTATAATGATCATAGCTCACTGCAACTTTGAATTCCTGGGCTCAAGCAGTCCTCCTGCCTCAGCCTCCCAAGAAACCGGGACTACAGGCATGAGCCCCACACCTGGCTAATTCTTTTTTTTTTTAATAGTTTTTGTAGGCACAAGGTCTTGCTGTGTTGACCAGGCTGGTCTTGAACTCCTGGCCTCAAGCGATCTTCCTGCCTCGGCCTCCGAAGTATTGGGATTACAGGCATGAGCCATTGTTCCCGGCCTAAAGATGGTTTTTAAGATCCTTCACCCTTAAAGTTTTAAGTCATTCTGCCTGCTTTGCAAAGGATATGTTTGAGGAGGGCAGAGGGTGACTTAGGAAGATATTGTCCAACAGCAGTGACCAGTGAGAAGGAGACTGACTCGCCGTCAGGACTTGTGTGACCCACAGGGTGTGCGTCCTGCAGCCAAGGGAGAACTTAGATGTCACCCAGTTTCTGGCTTGGGTTCCGAGTGAATGTGATAACATCGTGGTGAAGAAGCCAAGGAGGAGAGAGCTCTACTTGGGATACTGATGAGTTGGAAAGGCTGCAGGGATGTGGAGGTGGAGGATGTGAGGTGGAGTAAAAGAGACGGCACCAGGGCCTACCAGGGCCTACCAGGCCTTACCAGGTCTGGGCTGGCAACTACAGTTGAGGTTGCTTTTGGTTTACAGTGTCGGGCTGTATCCACCTAAGCTCGCAATCAAGTATGGCTTCTCCGCAAAGAGGATGAAGAAGGAGAATCTTTATGGACTGACAATTAGGGATGGGGGAGAAAAGGAAGAAAAGCAAAAAATCTGACTCACATCTTCATTTTTGAGTGGCAGTCACTGTCTTTTTGATGTTGAATATTCAAGTTTCAATTCATTGACAGAGACTTTCAGTTAAAAATGATGGATCAAACATAAGCATTTATTTTGGTTCCATCCCCAGACCCTAATAAAATGTTAATCAGTAAAATGCGAAAAAAATATATTTTCTAATTTTAAACATTTCTTAATTTTTTATTTTAGTAGAGACGGGGTTTCACTTTGTTGCCCCGACTGGTCTCAAACTCCTGGCTTCAAGTGATCCTCCTACCTGGGTAGCTGAGATTGCAGACGCAAGCTACCACCCTTGGCCTCAAAAAGATATTTTAAAAGGCTTAAATTCATAGGATAGAAAGAATGAGAAAGGCGATATTAGCCAATTTGGAAGCTAGCGAGTGGTAAAGGAAGTGGGATCTAAAATTGCTAGTGAAGAAAGCAGAGAACCAACGTAGTTTAAACTGCAGAATCCCCGACAGGCTCGGGAATGGGCAGTCCAGGGCTCCAGAGGCGGAGTTGTGCAGGTGTGAAATGTGGAGGATGGGTTTCAAGTGTGTTTAAAATGCAGTGACTCTGTCCTTCCCTGGCAAAGGACAGGCCTGGTCTCTGGGTTTGGGCACCAGGCACAGTTGAAGGTGAGGAATAGTGGCAAAATGGGGGATTGAACCAATACATATTTGGTTATGATTTGCTAGTTTTCCCCTTTGTCAATGAAAGAGCCCACTGATGGGGACAGGCACAGTGACTCACGCCTGTAATCCTGGCACTTTGCAAGGCCAAGGTGGGAAGATCCCTTGAGTTCAGGAGTTAAAGACCAGGTTGGGCAACATGGGGAGACCTCGACTCTACACAAAACACAAAAATTAGCCAGGTGTGGTGGCACGCGCCTGTGGTCCCAGCTACTCGGGAGGCTGAGATGGGAAGATCCCTTGAGCCCAGGAGGTTGGGGCTGCAGTAAGGCGAGATCACACCACTGCGCTGCAGCCTGGGTGGCAGCGTGAGACCCTGTCTCAAAAAAAAAAAAAAAAACCCCACTCTGTTGACTTAACAATAAATAAATAAACACTTTTTGGCAATAAAACTGTGTATTAGGGAAAAATCTCATACTTACCTGTTGCTCTGCCTCTCCCGTTAATATGTCTGCCATTTTATGGTCAGGTCAATTTTGAAATTGTTTAAGGCAAAATCTCCAAAGGGTTGTAGAACTTGATTGTTGATGTTGAGACAAAAATATCAATCACATTTATATTTAATACCATTCTTTAAACATACTCATCTAGGCCGGGTGCGGTGGTCATGCCTGTAATCCCAGCACCTTGGAAAGGCAAGGCAGGTGGATCACGAGGTCAGGAGTTTGAGACCAGCCTGGCCAAGATGGTGAAACCCCGTCTCTACTGCAAATACAAAAATTAGCCAGGTGCAATGGTGGGTGCCTATAATCCCAGCTGCTCAGGAGGCTGAAGCAGGAGAATCATTTGAACCAGGAGGCGGAGGTTGCAGTGAGTTGAGATAGCGCCACTGCACTCTAGCCTGGGCGACAGAGCAAGACTCCGTCTCAAAAAAAAAAAACAAAAAAAACTTTTGCCGGGCATGGTGGCTTACATTTGTAATCCCAGCACTTTGGGAGGCTGAGGCAGGTGGATCACCTGAGGTCAGGAGTTCGAGACCAGCCTGACCAACATAGTGAAACCCCATCTCTACTAAATACAAAAAATTAGCTGGGCATGGTGGTGCATACCTCTAATCCAAGCTACCTGGGAGGCTGAGGCAGGAGAATCGCTTGAACCCAGGAGGTGGAGGTTCCAGTGAGCCGAGATTGTGCCACTGCACTCCAGCCTGGATGACAGAGCAACACTCCATCTAAAAAAAAAAAAAAAAAACTTATCTTTACAATAAAGTGTCCTCATACTATGGTATATATACATCTCAAAAAATATTTGGAATATTTTTGTTTCCCTTTCTTAACTGACTGGAATGCACAGTTTTATAAACCATGGGGTTAAACTTCTAGCTGAGGTATTTAATATCCTACATCAGCTTCCAAATATCTGAACTAGATTGGCAGAGTCCAGTTTTAACAAATTCCGTGTGTAGGGAGCACAGCAGAGACCTGGGATGTCTAACCCAAGGATCAGGGACGAAGGCTCGTTAATTTTGCCTGTGGGAGAAGTCCCCCTGCCCCACAAGCTCATTTTATACATAATGCTAATAAGCTTGGTGATTTACTTTCCAAGTCACCAAGAAATTAGAAAGGACAGGGGCTGCTAATGATGGTAGGATGGTCACAAGGAAAAGTGATAACTGTCGGCAAAACGAGAAATAGAAAAATAGTTTTATAAACTCAGCGCTACAGGCCGGGCGCGGTGGCTCATGCCTATAATCTCAGCACTTTGGGAGGCCAAGGCAGGTGGATCACCTGAGGTCAGGAGTTCAAGACCAGCTGGCCAATATGGTGAAACCCCATCTCTACTAAAAATATAAAAATAAGCCGAGCGTGGTGGTGGCAGGTGCCTGTAATCCCAGCTACTTAGGAGACTGAGGCAGGAGAATTGACCGAACCCAGGAGGCAGAAGTTTCAGTGAGCTGAGATCGCACCACTGCACTCCAGCCTGGGTGACAGAGCAAGACTCCATCTCAAAAAATAAAATAAAATAAACTCAGCACTACAGTCTGGCTGTTTGATACCAAACCCTCAACTCAAAAGAACTTGTCTTCCCTTGTTTTAAGGACGCGGGAAGGTATACAATTTAAGAACAATTTGTTTTTTTAATCAGAAATTGGGAGTGCGGGAGTCATGCTTAAAATAGCAACCCTTAGTTATCTGGAAAATATTTTCCTGAACATCAGTTTCCCAAAAGTTCTGGGTTGCTGAGATTTTGTTTTATTTTTAGCCTGGGGATATTACTGTATTCTTCTTGGTTCTTTTATTAATTTTCAAAATATTTACAGGTAATACCTAATTATTTCATTAATAAAACAATTGATACAACTAATTCAGTATAGTAAAGCAAAAAAATTTTGCGAGGAAAAATTATATGAGCTGGTAGAGTTTTGTTTCTGTTCTTTTTATACTTCTAAGATGAATCAGTGTGATTTTACAGATTAATACTGATTACAGTAACTCCCTTCTTGGAATACATTTCTTCCACATATATGTGAAAGAGTAGTTGTAAATCTCAAGTTTGTAATAAATGACATGATCATTAAAATAGCCCTGATCCTGTCTTGGGGTACAAATACTCAGTGTGAAACATCCCCTTTCCCTGTTTCAGCCTTCTGTTTTACCTACTCGTTTTCGTGTTCTCCCAGATGTTAAAAGTGATCCTGGTATCTGATTCCTCCATACCCCAGTGCTTCCTGCTCATTCGCTCATCTTTCTTTTGCTTGCTGGACTTGCTTCTTGTTTTGCTTTCTTTGGTCAGCTGGGTTCTGGAGAGGCACTTTTTTGATGAGGAAACCCCTTCTGTGGTGTCCCTGAGGCCCCTGCTGGGAGGGACTGCTGAACTGTGGGTTCCTTGAGCCTCCTTGCAGAAGCAGTGGTGTTGGGTGATGAATATGGAATCATAAACGCAAGGCCATCAAACCAGTCCTCTGCTTTTTCCTTGTAAGCCAACAATGGGGCCTTTGATTCCAGACTCTAAGGTAGCTTTTGAGTCTGTTTCGTTTCCAACCCACTGCTCAGCCATGGCACAGCATAGGGGATGGAGTCACGGGTGTTAAAGGCCTGCAGAAGCACAGAGAGATGCCTGCGTCCACCTCCATTGTAAATACCTTTGTTTAAAATTTAGAAAATTAGGCCGGGCACGGTGGCTCACACCTGTAATCCCAGCACTTTGGGAGGCCAAGGCGGGCGGATCACAAGGTCAGGAGATCTAGACCATCCTGGCTAACACGGTGAAACCCCGTCTCTACTAAAAATACAAAAAAAAAATTAGCTGGGCATGGTGGTGGGCGCCTGTAGTCCCAGCTACTCAGGAGGCTGAGGCAGGAGAATGGCGTGAACCCGGGAGGCAGAGCTTGCAGTGAGCCGAGATGGCGTCACTGCACTCCTGCCTGGGCGACAGAGCGAGACTCCGTCTCAAAAAAAAAAAAAAATTTTAGAAAATTGGCTTACTTAACTTTTTTTTTTTTTTAATGGAGTCTCGCTCTGTCACCCAGACTGGAGTGCAGTGGCGCAATCTCTACTTACTGCAGCCACCTCCTCCCAGGTTCAAGCAATTCTCCTGCCTCAGCCTCCCAAGTAGCTGGGATTACAGGTGCCTACCACCATGCCTGACTGATTTTTGTGTTTTTAGTAGAGACAGGGTTTTGCCATGCTGGCCAGGCTGGTCTCGAATTCCTGACCTCAAGTAGTCTGCCCCCTTGACCTCCCAAAGTGCTGGGATTACAGGCGTGAGCCACTGCACCTGACCAGCTTGCTTAACTCTCATACTCTGACGTATACTGTATGTATATATCAGACCACTTGAGAAACCCCAGTATGTTTCGAGGGAAACAATAAGGCTGATTACTTGTGCTTATATCCCAAACTAATATATTTAAAATTGTATAGAGTTTGTTTTTTGGTATTTTTATTTTAATTTTCCCTCCACTTTATTGAGGTATAATTAAAATTGTATCTGTTTAAGGTATACAGTGTGATGTTTATATACACATGCCTTTTGAAGTGATCACCACAGTCAAGTTAATTAACATATGTATCACCTCAAATAGTTACGTTTTTGTGATAAGCACACTTAAGATCTGCTGTCTCAGCACATTTCAAGTACATGATACGGTATTATCAACTACAGTTACTATGCTGTATGTTAGAGCTCCAGAAAAAGTTTCTTGGTTTCTTTTCTTGAGACAGTCTCTCGCTCCGTCTCCCATGCTGGAGTGCAGTAGCAGGATCGATCTTAGCTCGCTGCAGCCTCAGCCTCCAGTCCTGGGCTCATGCAGTCCTCCCACCTCAGCCTCCCAAGTAGCTCCCTGGGACTACAAGGGCACCACCATGCCTAGCTAATTGTTTTATTTTTATTGTTATTTTTGTAGAGATGGAGTCTCAATATTTTGCCCAGGCTAATCTTGAACTCCTGGGCTCAAGCAGTCCTCCTGCCTTGGCCTCCCAAAGTGTTGGGATTACAGGCGTGAGCCACCACATCCAGCCTCAGAAAAGTTTTATAGGATTTAAGTAATAATATTGTCTGTATTTTATTGACCTTGTGGCATCTTCCTGTGCCAAGCACTTGATACAAACAGTATGAAATGATTTGCTCTGTGCTGACTTGTGGTGAGCATGAGGGGAACTTGCTGGGAAATCACTGGGAATGTGGGAGCTAGTTATCTACATTGTCACTGTCTGCACGTATCAGCTCTTATTTCTGAATTTGGCTTTTTTGCAGGTCCCTAGCTGTTGGTAGTAAGTCCGGTTATAAATTTTTCTCCCTTTCTTCTGTGGATAAGCTGGAACAGATCTATGAATGCAGTAAGTGTTTGCTTTATTTTTCCCCTTCTCTAAAAAAAAAAAAAGTTGAATTGGAATGCGGTCTAAAATTCAGACACTGTGGTTGAAGTCCAGACACCCTCTGACCAGTCCTCTGCTTCTGCCTTCATCTCTCCAAGAGGTGGCAACTGGTGATACCTGTAGCTGTCTGCCCCGATCTGTGCATTTGCCTACATAGGAGTGCAGATACCGAGGGAGCTGTGTTCACGAGGGTCTTCAGTACGTGAGCTCATACCATATGTACTGGTCTCTAACTTCTCCCCCCACGGTTTTTTGTTTTTTTTTTTTTTTTTAAGACGGAGTCTGGCTCTGTCACTCAGGCTGGAGTGCAGTGGCGCGATCTCGGCTCACTGCAAGCTCTGCCTCCCAGGTTCACGCCATTCTCCTGCCTCAGCCTCCCAAGTAGCTGGGACTACAGGCGCCCACCACACCCGGCTAATTTTTTTGTATTTTTAGTAGAGATGGGGTTTCAGCGTGTTAGCCAGGATGGTCTCAATCTCCTGACATCATGATCTGCCCGCCTCAGCCTCCCAAAGTGCTGGGATTACAGGCGTGAGCCACCGTGCCCAGCTGACTTCTCTCCGTTTTTAATGCCATTTAAACCATCTAGATTACTATCATAAAGGGCTTCCAGAAAATTGAAAATTTTACAGCCCCTGTAGGAACAATTTGTTTTCTCGCATTGGCATTTTACAGCCTTGAAGTGGCCCACATGTTGGAGAGGCGCATGGAACAGCGGGAGGCCATGCGCTTTGGCCTCTTGCTCAGTCATATTTTGTGTGGTTCTAGATGGATTCCTTCATCTCTGGGCCTCAGTTTCTTTTATTTTTTGCAAAACAGAAATAATGCACATCTATAAGATTATTGCGGGGGTTAGAGATTATGTATATGTGTACTTAACAGTGTGCAAAAATGGTATTTGCTGAGTAAACCCCATGATGGAGACTGTGACGGGAAGCTTTGGACTCTTTCCACATGTGTAATTTTTAATTAAGATAATTATGGATTCACATGTAGTTGTAGGAAATAATACAGGTCTCTTGCATCCTTTATCCTGTTCTTCCCAATGGTAACATCTCGCAAAGCCCCAGTGTAATATCACAGCCAGGATGTTGACATCCACCCCTCCTGGGCACACTCTCCAGTCCTCCTTGTGCTTATTTGTGTGTGCGTAGGTTCTGTGCAGTCTTTTTTGTTTTTTTTTGAAACGGAGTTTCGCTCTTACTGCCCAGGCTGGAGTGCAGTGGTGCCATCTTGGCTCACCACACCCTCTGTCTCCCCTGGGTTCCAGCAATTCTGAACTTGTGCTGGTGACTTGAAATTATGGCGTTCTCCTGGCCCGCCAGCAGGTGGGGCCTTTCAGACTCCCTCCTGGGCCCTGGCCTCTCTGCAGGTGAGCCTGCAGGTGCCCCTCACCTCCATGAGGGGATGTGTCTGATTCTCCCCAGCAGTGTCTTTCTTGTTGCTGCCCCCAAGAGCGAGTACCCAGGCCCTTTGCAGGGAGAGAGTGGGGCAGCAGAATTTACATGATCCGCGTCCCTGACTCATGGCTCCTGCTGGCTGGCTTAGGTTTTACTCCTTTCTTTGTCCTTAGACTTGCCTACTGGTGCTTACTAAATCTTCCAAAAAAGCCTTTCTTCTGCCATGGAGGCTGGGAGATGTGATCTGGGTGATAACATAGGTGTGAACCAGGACTGTTTATCCCAGGTGCCACCCGCCTTCCTGAAGCCCTGCCACCTGGCTGCCTTCACGTGAGGCACACAGGATTGCTCCCCATGGGGGGTTTCTGCAGTGGAGGGCAGCCCTGTCTCCAGGCTTTTATGAATGACTAAAACATATATTCAGTCCAGATCCAGATGAAGTACTTGAATTGTGCTATTAAATTGTTGCTGGAGTCACTATAGTCATCTGTTTTCAAACACACAGAATATTTTTTCCCCTATGGGGGGCCAGTGCTTAGAAAGAGTGGAAGAATGCCAAAACCTGGTCTTTCCTTTTCCTCAAATTGAAGTTTAGTTACTGACTTCTAGTGCCTTATTTCCCAGAGATTTTTAGTGGAACAAAATGGGATGTCTTGATAGTATCTTTTAGAGTGGATATTGGCCGGGCGCAGTGGCTCAGGCCTGTAATCCCAGCACTTTGTGAGGTCAGGGCAGGCGGATCACATGAGGCCAGGAGTTCAAGACAAGCCTGGCCAATGTGGCAAAACCCTGTCTCTACTGAAAATACACAAAAATTAGCCAGGCATGGTGGCTCACACCTGTGATCCCAGCTACTAGGGAGGCTGAGGCACGAGAATCACTTGAACCCAGGAGGCAGAGGTTGCAGTGAGCCAAGATTGTGCCACTGCACTCCATCCTCAGTGACTGTGAGACTCTGTCTCAATAAATAAATAAAAAGGCCGGGCGCGGTGGCTCAAGCCTGTAATCCCAGCACTTTGGGAGGCCAAGACGGGCAGATCGCGAGGTCAGGAGATCGAGACCATCCTGGCTAACACGTTGAAACCCTGTCTCTACTAAAAAATACGAAAAACTAGCCGGGCGAGGTGGCGGGCGCCTGTAGTCCCAGCTACTCGGGAGGCTGAGGCAGGAGAATGGCGTGAACCTGGGAGGCGGAGCTTGTAGTGAGCTGAGATCCGGCCACTGCACTCCAGCCTGGGTGACAGAGCAAGACTCCGTCTCAAAAAAAAAAATAAATAAAAATAAATAAATAAATAAAAAATAAAGAGTGGATGTTTACTGACCAACATGGTACGACGGTAGGTGCATGAATTTCTGTGTTCTTCTTAGTGAACCTTGGCCCTTAAAAATAGATGATGAAATGGACAAAGAATGTTTTGAGGGTTAATACTTTTTTTTTTTTGCGATGGAGTCTTGCTCTGTCACCCAGGCTGGAGTGCAATGGCGCGATCTTGGCTCACTGCAAGCTCTGCCTCCCAGGTTCATGCCATTCTCCTGCCTCAGCCTCCCAAGTAGCTGGGACTACAGGCGCCCGCCACTACACCCAGCTAATTTTTTGTATTTTTAGTAGAGACAGGGTTTCACCGCGTTAGGATGGTCTCAATCTCCTGACCTTGTGATCCGCCCGCCTCGGCCTCCCAAAGTGCTGGGATTACAGGCGTGAGCCCCCGCGCCCGGCAAGGGTTAATACTATAAACTGAAGCTATTATGTTGCTCTATTCCTAGAATGTTATCTGTCTTTCCTCTTTCGCATCCTTTTTTTTTTTTTTTTTTTTTTTTTAGTAGATAAGATAATGTCTCTTAGAAAACAGGTCGGCTACTAAGTGAAATGTCAAGATTGTTTTCCAGCATTTTTCTGTAGGTAGACTCACAAGAAAGAATATTTCTTCATGTCTCAGTGTTTAGTTCAGACTCAGTATTGACTTCTACTCTCAAAACTCTTTAACAGTCCATCATAAAATCAGATCTTTGCTGTCACTCACTGTGGCTGTTACAGAAAGAATGAGCCAGAGCTGGTCTTAGAGAAAAACATGATGGACAACTACTTGTTCTTCTTTTATTTACTTAGAAAAGAAAATTCACACACACACAAAAGCTTGGTCAAGCAGTACTGGAAGATAGATTTTCTACTATTAGTGTTATCATTTCGGACTTGAAAGTTGCAGGAGCTGCCAGATAGGCTTTGCTCATTGTTTATGGACACCTCATATACATATATATATGGGGACAGAGTCTCGCTCTGTCACCCAGGCTGGAGTACAGTGGCATAATCATAGCTCACTGTACCCTTGACCTCCTGAGCTCAAGTGATCCTCCCCCCTCAGCCTCCTATCTGGGACCAGAGGCACGCACCACTACACATGGCTAATTTTTTTGTAATTTTTGTAGAAACGGGGTCTTACTATGTTGCGTAGGCTGGTCTTGAACTCCTGGTCTCAAGCAGTCCTCCCACCTCAGCTTCCCAAAGCGCTGGGATTACAGGCGTGAGCCTCCGCGCCCGGCCTCTCTGATCATTGCTGGGATTACAGGCGTGAGCCTCCGCGCCCGGCCTCTCATATGATCGGCACTGGGATTACAGGTGTGAGCCACCGCGCCCAGCCTCTCATGTGATCATTTTCTCTCTCCATGTGCATTTTTGTTGTCGTCCTCGTTTTTTGAATATACATAATGCACAAAATGTGGTCTCTTTTCTCTAAAATATTCTACAACAATGTCCTACACTGTTAGGCAAAATAAATGAAGGATATCGGTTTATTATTTGTAAAAGATCACAAAAGTTTAGAAGTTGGCTTTTTTCAAAAGCTGCACTGTGTGTTTTCTTTGCATTTGCTAAGCTGGTTTCTGAGCTAGGAAAACAGATCTCATAAACATTCAGTTCTGAAACCCAGCACAAGCAGATTGCTCCTTAGCTCAGCAAAAGTGATTAGAGCCTGCGTTGATTATGGAAGCGAAGCCGTTGACATATAACACCTTTTATCAAACCTTCCTGCTTTGCCAAGAAACTAATCATTTACTTTACGGGCCATCATCTACGTCTTAAGGTTTGAGAAATGGTGCTTTCTGATGTTAGTCCTATTTGACAGGCGGTGCATTGGTTGGAATATTAATTTCAGTGAGATTTATAGTAATGGATCCTACAGAGGAGAAACCACGAGCGTCTCTTGGCGTAAATCTGTGGTGATGGAATGCTACCTTGCATCCTGGCGGAGCCGCAGGCACACGTGGAAGTGGATTCAAGCAATTATCTCATGGCCTCGTTCTTCCCTTCCCACTCCAGGAGGTTCATCGTTGTCAGCTATAGACCACGCCAGCAGAAGCAAAAAGCAACATTCTTTTTTAAATCAAGTGATTAATTTCTTAACTTTTAGTCAGGCAATCTCTAGGAGGGAAGTTTGGCAGAAACGGTGGCTAAGGCCACCTAGAATGAGTGCTAAAAGCAAGGCCTTTGACCCTGGAGATCACTGGAGTTTGCGTTCAACCTTTGTCTTTTTTTTTTTTTTTTTTTTTTTGAGTTGGAGTCTC